AGAGTGACGGAGTCACGCTACCAATTGGTAAAATAAGCAGCTTGACAGAAAGAAAATTCTCTAAATCACTAGGTATGCTAGAACTTGACAGTATATTACATGAAAAAAATGAAATTAGCGATAAAGACAGAGTACAAGATGAGAATCTGCCGATTCCGGAAGAGTAAGTTTTGCGGGAAGGACAAAATTGCTGCCATTGACCAGTATGTGGAACTAGTGCTTCTGTACACTGGAGGCATCGTCGAATAGACGACGGCGGGAAGGTTAAAACTGGATGAAAACGCACGAAAGATCTTGACCAAGCACAGCTAGTACATTCAAAAGCAGAAACGGACAGACCGTATGTTCCGCCCAAAGGTAGAGGAAGGACGCATCGTTGTATGAAGGATACGCTGGAACTAGCGATGTTAATCGTAAGGCAGTACCTACCCGACGGCGGTGGACCACAGGGTGATGACGACTATAGTGGTTAACGGCTTGCGTGAAGGAGAACAGACACAGCGAGCAGTTGTAAATGTAGAAAATCATGAGGAAAATGTATAGAACTTCCGGTACAGTATTTGGAAGAATAACGAAGGGTTTCGTTGGCAGTATGTTCGTTCAACTTGACGAAGACACAGATGTCCACCAGACATTGCACCAGAAGTGGGCTCTGTTGCAAAACGGATACCGTTCTAATAGCCAGCCCAATGCATGACTAAGTACTGAGCATCGAACTCATGCAAAGCGAAGATTCTGCACCCGTTGCCAGAAGCAGAGGGCAGAATGTGTCAAGGGAAGGATGAGAACTTGATGAGTATGACTTTCAACTGTGCAGCGCTCGTGAATCGAGAATGCACGAATTTAAATTTGTCAGGCAGATGGCAGATTCTTTATTGAAGTTGCGACGTTTCATTTAAACGATATCGGCGATCATCAGGGCAAACGATTTTCATGTGTTTTCGCTTGTGTCTAGACTCATTGAATTGAGAATTTATTTTTTGTTTTTATTTAAACAATTTGGAACGGATTTACGGGTGTTCGACCAGTGCCCATGCGGTGCCAGGTTCACAGTGATCTTGTATCTGCTTGCGGCGTATGGCGAATCACCTGTTTTATTGGTCAATCTTTATGAACGTGGTTCATTACTGGGTGCTAGCCAGCCTTGCGCTCGACGGACAGTTCAACTGAGGGGCAAGGAAATGGTGCATGGCGACAGTTTTTTCGTGTTTGGTTGTCACCGCCTCTTTCACTAAGTTGGCCACATGTTCTTCTGCCTCTGTGCTGAGAGCGGTGCCGATAACCGACCGAATCGTATCGAATGTGCGTTCTCAACGTGATGATGTGGCGCACCGCTGAGTCTGGCGAAATTTTGAGAAACTCGACAGAGACGCAGTTTTTAAGACATGCTTCAGTGAACGAGTTCAACAAAGTTGTGTTGATTCGACAGATTTTTCCATGCTGCTTCACAGCTTCAGCACAAAATATCGGCACACCTCATCGACCTACACTCATTTCGCTTTATTCCTCTTTCAATCCGAAGCTAACGCCAAATGGTAGATCGCACATAAATCTTGTTGCGATCATTATGTTTGTCGTTATTAAAACGTGAGCATTTTTTTCCACATCACTGATCTAATGATCAGCGCCACAATTGCGGAACATGCATAGCAGCGCTTCGGAGACAGTGCCTGCGTAAACGGTGATGCAGCCGTTTGTGAAAACGAAGTGGGGGAGGGTGGTTGAGGTATGCCTGGCGTCTGTCGACAGAATAGCTCTTGGGCATCTGAAAATCCACTGTGGCTGTTTCTTTGGGTGGCACTGCGAATCGTGGTGACTACTATTGAATTTTTCCTCAAGTAATTGTGTTTTTGTATCGTTTGAGTTATGTAGAGGAAATCTTTAAGTGCTGTGGCACAGAGGTTTGGTGCCTCACTTCGAAATGAACGTCGCGTCGTCTTCATCTTCGTGTCCGGCGTTCAAATTCAGAACGCAAATTCGAATAGCTTATCTGCTTATACCAAAAATGAAATCTTAGTTTCAACATCTTGTTCATAAAAGAAATATTTATGTAGGAATGTCGATACGCGTATAACTGGTTTCTACAAGATTTTCTTGTGTCAAATAGGTAGAGAAACGGAATTATCGGTTTATGTTTCTTCAAAAGAGCTATCAACGTTGGTACCAAATCGAGCTATGTAGTTTTACCTGAAAATCCTTCTCTAGGAACCGATTTTCCTTATCGATTTGATAAGTCAAATTTTGCGTTGCATTACCTCACCGGCTCACCGTTTCGAGGCTCATTTAAGGTCTTTACAGAGAGATTCACTGTAGCGGCTACTTATAGTAAATCCCACAAGCTCCACCCCACTCTACGCCCTGTATACTGTTGTTGGCATACCAACTATACCTCGTTCGTTTCCGGTCATTCACGGTATGAACTTCAGTTGCGGTTTTAGTTTCTGGGAGTCGTCACATCCGAGAGGTATCATATATGTCAAGGTTGGAACAGAACTCAACAGAAGAATT